CCGTGGTTGGAAAATTTTCCATCCTCCCACCCCCAAGTCAAAGTCATTAGATTTAATCATTGACAAGGCTGGTGTTAATTAGCAGAACACAGCTGGGCCTCAAGAACAGCTGATCCAACAAGGGTTGGGAGACACAAGACCTGGCTGAAAAGGGGCGGAGGGTGTCCTCCTGTAGACATTCCCCCCATAAAATCCTGAAAGCATTGAAGTCCCCCCTTTCACTCCTGCTTTTTCAAGAGTCAAAGGAGAAAATATATGCAATGCTTAATGTGTGCTAGGTACTTTACGGACACTGCCTCATCCCACCTCTCACTGTATCTGAGTACCTGTTGTTAATACAGCTGTAGCGGTGAGGACGTTGAGGCTCAGAGATGTTAAGCAATGTGCCCAAGGTCACAAAGCTATTAAGTGGCAGAGCTGGGATTTGAACCCAGGCTCACTGCTCCAGTGGGTATTTAACCACCATGCTGAAAAGAGCAAGTGTATGGAGGAGAGGCTGTAGGGTCTGTGCAGTCAGCGGCGTTGCCCTTCCCTTTCCTGATGTCCCTTAGTCCATAGCATCTCGTACTGCCATTTTTGTAATAACTTGTCTCTGGTAATTACTTGGTCACTCCAGCACCTGCTAGGCTATAAGCTGTTAGTGAACAGATTTCATCTGTTCTGTTGTTCTACTATGTCCCTAGCACTCAGCATAAAGGCTGGCATACATGAATATCCAATAAATATCTGTTGGAAGAATATGTTCAGCCTATTAGAGGGTTGAGAATGGGAGAGGTTATCTGGAAATTAAGTAGGGCCTGGGTCTTCTGGACTGTTGATGATCACAGGCTCAAGTGCATCTTGGGAGGTCATCTGGCCCCTATTCCTGCTTCAGGTTTAGCCATTGTCCTGCCACAGCCACCACATCTGGTTTAGTGGGAAAAGCACTGGCATAGGTTCTAGTCCCTGAAAGAGCTATTTCCTCTCTCTTAGCCTGGTTTCCCCGGCCCCTTTAGCCTAGCAGGTTGGCTGGTCTCCACGCCTCTTCCACCTCTACCAGTGGTGTTTGTGGTTCATGAAGAGGCAGAGCACTTTGGAAATGAGCATCCTATTTGAATCACCAGCCCTGGCCGCATTCCCAAAAGTGCCAGCTGCAGGGGGGTGTGCACCCAAGCCTGGCAGAATTGCAATGATGGGCTTTTTCACAGGCAAACCAGGATTCACACAATCAGAGAAGGCTGAGGCCTCCAGGTCATCCCCTGTGAGGCCACACATCTATCCCAGTGCTGCTTCTGGAGCTCCCCAGAAGCTCTAGAATCTTCTCTTGCAGAGATGCTTCCCACATGGATTCTGGAGCCCAGCAGGATACACAGAATCGCTGCAGGATTCCCACCTGTGCTCCAGAAGTGCCTGCTCCCACCTCCCTCCTTCACAAGGCTTGGCCCCTAAAGACTCTGTCATTTCCAAAAGAGCAAAGCCACCCCTAAGGACAAAGATACATTCCCCAGTGAGGATTTCCAGAGCATATGCCACAAGTTCTAAGATGATTCCAAGAGTCTCCAGGAAGGTTTGAGAAACTGCAGCACATCGGGATGAGCATATGGCTTCCCGGGGAACGACTTGGATGGGGTCTCTGCTCCTTTGGATGTGTAAAAGTATCTCCAGCCTGACCTCAGCAGACCTGTGTGTGTGGAAAGTGTGCACGTGCCATGTATCCCACAAGCAGGAGTTGGCTTCTGCCACACTGGCCAGGCAGGGAGAAAAGCAAGGATAAAGGGAAGGTGACTGTCTCCTGGGCTCTAACCTGGTCCTGGGACTTCTGAGCTATATGATTGGAGCACACCTAGCTCAGAATGATGGAGTATTAGGACAGGAAGAAATTTGTATGGTCACCTGGTCCTCCTCACGTTGCAGATGAGGAAACTGAGCCCAGTGCCAGGGGAGTGACTCTGGAGTTGCCCAGAAAGTTGTGAGCAGTAGGAGGAACTGAACCTCCATCTCCCAAATCCCAGTCCAGGCAGCCCAGAGAGGTGTTCTGAAAACACCGCTCTGCACTACCCTACCCTTGAGGGTAAAATGAGGATGAACGCCTGCCCCCCCTCCAGGTGGGTTATGAGGATGAGTGAATTAAAGCATGAGGGGGTCAGTGTGGGTGAGAAAGGTTTATAATAAAACCAGAAAGCGCTGAGAGCTCAAAGAGCAGCCCATTAACCCAAAGGAGGGAGGAGGAGGGAGGGAGGAGGGCGAGGGTAGGAGCTGTTACGTGACTGCACCCCCCACAGTGCATCCCTGTAACCTTAAATGTTTCATGGACCCAGAAGCACACGATGCAGAACAGCTGCTGCTCCTCCAGCCTAGGCTGTGGCTGCAGCAGGGATGTGAACACTTGCACACTCAAGCACACCTAACATGAACAGGAGCAGGCTGGCGAAGGTGTGGGGGTAGGGCAGGCACTAACATACTCACTGGAGGAAGAGATCCAAGAGCAGGCGTCAGGCCCTCTGCAACTCCCCAGCCCTGCGTGAGAGCAACCCACACCATCTCACACCCACGGTCCCAAAAGGCACTCACAGCCACCCACACAGCTCTGGGTATAAATAAAGGTCAGAATGACATGCACCACCTTCACAGACCAACCCATTTCAGCTTACTCAGTGCGAAGGCTACACCCTGCCACTCTCCACCTTCCCACTACCCATAAACGCTTCGCCCACCTGTCCCCAGTCTCCTCCATCCCAAGCTAGAGTGGGTGCTGCCTGTCTTCCCTCTGCCTGCTCTCTCCTCCTCTGCCTCCACCCCAGCACCGGCTGCTCCAGGACCCCCCTTCCCACACGTCCCCACACGTTCCCACATCAGCCATCTCTCTGAAGCTTGAGTTCTCTGGGTTCTTCTCTCAGGTCCCTCTTGTTACCTGCAGCTTTTATGACTGGGGTAAGGGGGCATGTCTGAGAATCTGATACTTGAAAAAGCACCATGAAGGGCGGGAGGAGATTCCGTGACCAGACCAAAGTTTGGAGAAAAGAAGAGAACATGGAAGGAGGCCTGGGTAAACAATAAACCGGGTGGGGTGGGGGATGTTCTTACAAGAGGTGACTCCCCTCATTCTGCTGTCCTGTTAGGCGATATCAGGGCATTCACAGTAGAAGCTATCTGTCAATTAATTGAGGGCTTTTGTATGGAAGGTATCTTACCTACGGTACTCAACTCAGTGAGGTGGGGACTATTCTGTCCACTTTACAAATGAGACTAAGGCTCAGAGAGAGGAGCCTGAGGTCCCAGACCTCGGCGCGGGGATCCTGGCTTCATGGTCCCGATGGTACAGGGGAGAAACAAGCACCTATGTAGAGGGTACTTTGGGTCCTGGTATGTGTGGTTAGGAGGTAGGGTGAGTGGGAAAGGCCCCAGCAAGCCACTGGACCCCAAAGGGCCCAGCATCTCCCCCAACCCCTTCATCTCTGCTTCAGAGCCTCAACAGTCTCCCTCCACTGTCACTTAGCCGGTGTGGGAAGGGAAGTACACAGACCTTGGGGGTAAGGGAGACAAGAAGCCCACCCAGCTATTTTCTGACTGGCCCTGCTACACCAGAGAGTAAAGGAACCTGCAAGTGCAGGCTGTGGGAGGCAGTCACTCCTGGAGGCCCAGGGGCAGCAAAGCAGGGGCCAGTTAACCTGCAAATGGAGGTTCAGCTGGCCAGAGCCTTCAGGGCCCACTGGTCCCTATAACCACAGCCTAGCCCTGAGAAAACTGAGCCTGGCATATGTAAAAAGATATGGCTAGCAGGAAGGGAGGAGGAAGTTATTTTGGGAGGTAGGGGAAGGAGTCTTGTGAAATCCAGGTCAGGGAAGGGCTGTCCAGAGGAGGTGGCAATTGAGGGCTCAGGCAGTTCCCATAGAAGGTGATCAAGGGGTCCCAGAGAACCAGGGGTAAGTCTCTATGGAACTTGCTAGTTGTTTGGTTTAAGGTTAAGGAAACAGACCTGGCCCCAGCCCTGATCCTCCCCCAGCGCCCCTATTCTCCTCCCCTCTTCCCCATTGCAACTTCTTCCCAAAGATGCATCCAGCCATTACCCTCCCCAGCGCCCCTGCACCTTCTCTCCCTCCTCTGTCCAGCAGTTCCCAGCCCCTAGCACAGCACACACCAGCTCCTATGAATATCCTGTCTGCCCAACTCATTGGTGTTGATTGACATCTTGGTCCTACCCCAAACTAGCAAGTTCTTCACAGAGTCTAACCTCTGTCCTTCAGTTACTGCAGGGTTGGTTTCCGTATTCTGCCAGTAGTGAAACTGAAAACCGATCCCATCTGTAAACACGCCACTCCACCAGAGAAGTCTCCCTCTCCATCCCCCGGCACACTCCCCACACTGACCTTTCACCTTTTAGGGTCCCTATAACTTAGCCAGCAGAAAGGGAAATCTATTTCACAAGCACTACTGGTTCCTCACCCCCATTCCTCCTTCGACCGAGTCCCATATGATCCACTCTCCGCAAGCCTTCCACCCACACCCCTAGGCACTTCGAGAGAGGCGCTCCCTTTGGAGACCCCCTGAGGTCTTCCCCTGCCTCTGAGTGAACATAGGACCCGTGTCCAAAAGCCGCACCTGGGCTCCAACTTCCCGCCCGCGACAGTGATTTCCACCGAAGGGCAAGTCCCTCCCCCAGTCTAACGTTAGTCCCTCCTGCTGTACGCCTAAGTCCCTCTCAGTCTTTCCTCTGTGAGACAACCACTTTTAAGATCGTAAATAAAACCGTCCTCTCGAGGTTGCCGCCTCCTCTCCCGCAGCTCCCCTCCACTTTCTCGGCCCCTAAAGCCTGCCCCCAGCTTGGAGATGTTCTTCGTAGCCTCTCCGCACCCCTACTCTGCCCAGAACTCCGAGGATACCTGGGGACCGCACTGGGCGATGTGACGTGATGGTGATGGTGGTGGTGACGTGGTGGGGATGGGGGGGGGGGGGGGGGGGGGGGCCGGGGGGGGGGGGGTGGGGAGCCAATCGGCGGCCTCGGAGTCTCGGGAGCCGCGAGCTAGGAGCGCTGAGCCGGGAGCTGGGAGCCGAGCGCCGGGCTGGGGCCGGGGCCGGAGCGGAGCGGAGAGGGAGCGCGCCCGCCCCAGCCCCGAGTCCTGTCGCCTTCCAGCCCGCAGCCTGCGGCCGCCGCCCCAACCATGGAGCCAGACAACAGCCCCCGGAAGATCCAGTTCACCGTCCCGCTGCTGGAGCCGCACCTTGACCCCGAGGCGGCGGAGCAGGTGCGGAGCAGGGCGGGGCGGCAAAGGACTCTCCAGCAAAGGACCAGGGACCCCTGGACTGGGGGCACCCGGGAGACCAACCTAGCCCTCCGGTAGCAGGGTGCCTTTTTGAGAGCAAACTCGCTCAGTTTGGGGGTCTTCTACCCCCTCCCCCACCTCTGGAACCACATCCCTCGGTGCTGCTTTGAGACGGACCCAAGGACGAGCGCCTCACTGGATGCCTGTCCCCGGGAGAGTCGCTCTCTTCCTTCCCAGCCCTGGGGGAGGGGGCCTGCTTGAGGACACGACCCCTCCCCCTTCACCAATCTTGCATCCCCACCCAGTCAGCCCCCGCCAGAGTTTCTGAGGCGGTGCCGAAGGGTACCAGCAGCAGTGCGGGAGGGGGTCGGTAATGGAGGGAGCCTGCAACTGTGGGAGTTGAGGAAACCGCCCTCGGCGTGCCCTCCTAACTGGGGGCGCACCTAGCTGGGCTCCAGAGAGCGATAACAAGGAGGAGCTGAGGACAGCTAAGGGGGCTGGGGCTTTGGGGAGAAGGGCGGTGGGGTCTGCAGACGGAGGCGCCCTTCTGCTCAAGTGGACGCGAGGGCCCTTATTCCCAACTCCTGCCCTTTGGGGTGGGGGTGGGGTGGAATGGAGGGAGTGGCGCTGGAAGATCAGAGGTGGGGGCTTTCTCAGGACTGGGTGCAAAATGAGCACTGTGTGAGGAAGAAGCACTGAGCCGGCCTTGGCTCGAGGGGTGGGAGTTCCAGAGCCCTGGCCCAGCCTCCTGGCCTAGCCTATTTTTAGCTCAGAGCAGCCTGGCAGAGGCGACTGTGTATGAGTGTGTGTCTCGGTGGGAGTGAGTGCGTGTGTACAGAGTGTGACCACCGTGATCTTCCTATGCCCATTTGCTAAATATTTGCTTATTTGCCTATTGCTCCATCTCTTGTGTTCCCTGTCCATCACCTAGACATTCCCATTCCTAAGGAATATCCAATTCCCACAAGGTCAGTTCTCTGTTTCCCCCAACCAGCTGCCAGGCTCTGGCAGGGCCTCCCCACCTGAAAACCATTGTGACCACTCAGAATGGGCTAAAGACAGTGGTTTGCTGTTTCTCCAGCTGTTTGCTGGATAAAGTCTGGGTGTGAAGGGAAGAGAAGGTGCACACTCTCTGCAACTTCTGCTTCCCCAAGCACGGGGCGGGGGGAATCAGGTACTGGCTTGTCATGCCACTGCATCTTCAGACCTTTAAGGTGTGATGGTGAAGGGATTGTAAAGATGTCACAGACCTCCCGAGGAGGAGGAGGATGGAGAGCCACTAGCATGGGGAGTATCCCCTTAAGGTCAGGGAAAATCTCTTGTGCTTGGAGACAGAGGACTGGCTAAGATAACCTCAGATTTAAGAAAAAGGGCCCAAGGGTGTGGGCTGGAGGAGGAGGGGTAGGGGTGACTTCCAACTGCCTCCCACTCCCTGGCACAAACAGGGCCTGACACCTGCATCTGTTTGGTGTTGGAGGAGGCAGGTGTAGTAGGCGTGTGTTGGGAGAAGAGCATAGCCCAGGGATTCAGGGATCTGGGGTGGGGACAGGAAGGGAGGAGCAGCAGACAGTGGTAAAGATTTTTAGCTGGAGTCTGGGCTTGCTTTTCTCCAATCTTCAGAAAAGAGGTTCTACTAGGCCTGAAATTTTACCTGCAGTCTAACCTCAGCCCCTCCTGCTGTTACTACGTGTGGAAGCCAAAAGCTCCAGGTTTGGCAAGAGCCCCTAACCCAGACCAATGGGGAGGGAGAGGGGGCATAAAAAGAGTTGGAAGCTCTGAGTTATGGAGCCCAAAGCGGCAGGGTGAAGGGGTGCCCACAGCTACCAGATCGTTTGCATGACTGGTTTCAGAATAAATCAGAGGCGGAGGCACCAAGTGTCCTTGAGAATGAGAGCTAGGGTCTGGGATAGGTACAACCAAAAGAAGAAACCATCTGTTCATTTCCTAATAGTTGAGGTGCCTGGGAGGTGCCTCAGCAAATCTGACTTTCCTCCCTCCTGCTGTAGGATGTCACAATGCTCAAGCACTCTGAGGGCTTAGAAATCTTGTCCGTGTCAAGGAAATAGGTCAAGTAAGGGATCTGTCCAAGACCACAGAGCCCCGCTGCCATCTGAAAGGCCCTGTCACACTTGCTATCTCCTTCTCTGGCTCCCAATTCACTAATCCCCACTCCGCGCTCTCCCTGTCTCCTCTACCCTTCTACAGCCATGACAATCACCCCAGGACAGGAAAGAGAGAGGAAAGGTCCTCCTAATTAGAGGCCCCACCCGCACACATGAGGCACACACACCTGACTGCCAGCCCCAGCCCATTTGCACCAAAAATTGCCAGAGACAACTTACTATTAATGTTTTTGCAGTGATGAGTTTACACACACACACACACACACAACCAGGACTGTTAGAGACCTTGATATGTCATCAAAAACAGATGCCACTGATTTCTCCTGGAAGAATTATGCCCTAGCCCGACATCCCCCATTCTATCCATCCTGTTTCTTTTGGGGTGAGAGTCCCCCTCTCAGTCTTAAACAGCCCTTCTCGCTGTAGCTAGTACACACTTTAGGAACATAGAGAATGGCAGTGTTTTGCCACCTCCTATTCCCCACACCAGTGGCGATGACACTAAATGATGAAATACAGAGATAGGGATTTGATCATCCATTGTGCTCACCCCCATTCCTCTCAACTCCAGTTAATAATTTGAACCCCTTTCTCAGCCTTCCCTCCCCACCGCTGCTCTAGAGGGGCTGCAGGTATTCCAACCCCCATCCTTCTCCTCACTTCTGAGCCCTAAAACCACCAAAGAAAGGGAAGAAACTACATATCCCAGGAGTCTTTAGATTGACTTCACAACAATCAACTTTATTGGCAGCATGACGAAAGAACAAGAGCAGGGGAAGAGATTCAGAAACCAGCAGTCAATCAGCTTTACATGTTAATTTCTTACAATGGGACCTAGAGTCCAAGGTAAGATTTTTCAGCTACCTTTAAGGCCCTGACCACAGTGCTACCTGTATTATATTTACAATTACAGGATTTCCCCAGACCCTTCTTCCTAACAATCAGAAAGGCAGTGTGTCCAAGAATAGGGAGGACCTTATAGGGAATTCTGTCCAAGAATAGAGAGTGAGGGGCCCAGGCCAGGGAGATGCACGTTCAGTCCTTCGTTCTGTGTACTGTCCTCCCAGGCTGGGTGGGCCTGAGGGGTGCTCTGCAGGCACTGGCCCATAGAAGGTTAATGTCTGTGTTGGGGGTGGAGGGGAGGCTGGAGACTGCAGGAAACCCCTGTGCCCTCTCAGGTTATTTCTGACCATTGATCCAGGATGGACGGAAGGACAACAGGCCAGAGATCGATGCTTTAGAGCGGATATAGCTGCTCATCTGGAGATCTGGGGCCAGGAGAGACAGAACAGGAGGTTGAGAGAGCAGGGCGTGCACGTGGTCTTTGGGAGTAGCTCTCCTCAGGAACAGACAGGAGCAAAGATGTCCCTGGAACCCCTGGGACAATAGGTCCAGAGTAACCTGGTGCTTTTTGAGGTGTGGTGAGCTGGCCTGTGTGATGTTGCTGAGTGGTGCTGGGTGAGGCTCAGAGGCTCCCACGTACTTGACTGCTTTCCCCTTCCCACCTTCCCCCAGATTCGGAGGCGACGCCCCACCCCTGCCACCCTCGTGCTGACCAGTGACCAGTCATCCCCAGGTAACCCAAGGGATGGGTCACCGAAGGGAGTAGAGGCTGCTGTCCCACTGAGAAAGATGAGTGCTAGAAAGAAGAAGGCCAGATCTGAGGAGTCAGGGATCTCAGTCCTGAAAGCAGGAAAGTGGCGACTGGATTAGCAGGATTTTCTTTGCATTCAAATTGATGAACTAGTGCTTGGAAGGGGAGGGAGACCACCTGGTTCCTAAGCCCCCCAGGAATTGGGGTGGTCAACTGAGTGCTGGTTGCTGCGGCAACCGCCTTCCAGGTTTCTCCAGCAACTGAGATGATGCTGCCCCCACCCCCAGAGGCAGTGACAGCTGTGTGGGGGAGGGACTGCCTCCATCAGCTCTCTTCACAGCCCCCAGAGGGGAAGGGGGAAGGTTAGAAACAGCTCGGGGAGCAGCTGGGATTCCGGTCACCAGCGTCCCCACCAAGGTCCAGGGAGAGTGCAAGGTCTCCAAGAATGTCAAGGGCACTTGACATAGGAGTGGAAGAGAGATGGGGTGATCAGACTAATGGGCTAGACTGGAATTCAGGATACCTAGGCCAGAGGCTTTCCCTCAGCCACCAGAAATGATCCCACCTTCCAGGACCCTATACAGAACAAATCTGCTACTCTCTATTCATGTTCCCGCCCATGCAGGGCTCAGATCTGGCCCTAGAGTTGGGGAAGAGTTCTCTCCCCTCGCAGGGGAGAGAACAGTTGTAGATGTGAACTGGCCACAGAGTCAAGGGTAGGACCAAGCCAGCAAAGCAGGAGGAGAGCCTGAAGAAACGGGCCTGGGGCAGCCATCAGGGCCAGATGTAAAGGACAGAGCAGGAAGGAGGTGATTGCAGACTTCCCTCACCTTGGGAAGTCAGCTCTTCGGGGACTCCCTGGGTTTCCTGTTCTTACCACCTTCTCCTTTCCCTATTCACCTCAGAGATAGATGAAGACCGGATCCCCAACCCACTTCTCAAGGTGAGCTGGCCTCTCCTACTCAGCGCAGCCCAAAGAACCTCCAGACGCACTAGGTGGTTATTCCTCAAAACTGTGTTCCCACCTCTAGGACCTTTAAACCCCCTCTTCCCTGCACACTTCCTCACATGTGCATGAGTGGAATACCCACACGCCTTACACACACACACACACACACACACACCACAGTCTCCTTGCTCACCACTGGATGGAGGTGGCTGGGAAAGCAGATTTCTTGCCCCACTTTCTGAAGCCCACACCTACCCCCATCTCCAACTTAAAAGCATGACAAGGCAGAGGAGGGCGAGCAGGGCTGACACCTGTCTGTGCTGTGTCTTTCACAGTCCACTTTATCAATGTCTCCACGGCAACGGAAGAAGATGACAAGGACCACACCCACAATGAAAGGTTCGGAAGACCCTTCCCACCCCTTTTTACCCCTCTACACCCAAAGCTGACCCCCTTGGAAGGAACCCTCAAGAGGTCATTGAATCTGCCTTTATTATAGAGTTGTTGCTAGATGGACTGGGGTTAGACACCCAGGTCTGCCACGACTAGCTCAAATGGCCTTGGAGAAACGGCTTAACCTGCTGAGCCTTGAATACTACCTCATTCTGTCACATAGATGTATGTGAGCTCATCAGCACAGTGCACAGTACGTGGAAGCTGCTCGAACATTTCTTGAATCAAGATTGAGCCTTTTCTCCTGTCCCCAGGGGAAGCCATGTATCCTAGCAAATTAGGAGTGTCTTTTGTTTTGTTTTTCCTTAATTTTTTATAGGTTTATTTATTTCTTCCATGAGTGAAACCCACAGGCATCCCCAACAGGGTCCTCATCCCATGATATACCCTGAACTTCTGCCAACCCTGGATCATGGGCATACATGTGTCCAGTGTGTTCAGGGAGGTCTGCAGATATAAACGCAGAAGCTTCTGATGGGTCAGCCTCCCTAAAACTCTAGAGCATGGCATTACTGCTGTATCTCCATCCAGCCTGCTCTCTTTTGGTTTTAAAGGGGTTATTTTGTTTGTTTGTTTGTTTTTTGGGTAGAGATTTTTACCTTAGGGCATGTGTGCTCACTAGAGAGAGACAGAGACAATGAAAGGGAAAGTGAGAAATACCACCACTACCCCCACCCAGGGGGATGGCCACGCCACAATCCCTTCTCCTCCATTCTCCTCCCAAAATCTTAGGCACGCACATGCACCTGGCATGATTTTGAAGCTATCAAGTCCAGGACTTAAATCACGGTCAACCATGTGGGAGTCCAGTAACATAACTGATATGCTATCTGTTGGTCCCATTAAAGGCTCTTTTTCTACCTCTCCCTTCCCTATGAAAGAAGTACTTCTTATGGTCTATATTTTGTCCCTTCTTATTGCCCAGCTAATGTTTCCTCCCATGCAGATCTCAGTGGCTGAGAAAATCCAACACTCAGCAATGTCTACTGACCCTTTAGTGGGGTAGTTAAATCTGGGGCCCAGAGAGGAGACTCTAGGCAGTCATGTCCAATGTTCCCTCCCATTCTCTGCACTCCTAGAGCTCCAGATGATGGTTGAACATCACCTAGGGCAACAACAACAAGAAGAGCCTGAGGGAGCTGCCAAGAGCACAGGGACCCAAGAGTCCTGCCCACCTGGGATCACGGACACAGAAGCGGAGTCAAGGCTGGGCACCTCAGGGACAGCACAGAGTATGTTCAGGCTGGGGAGGGCCCCAAACACCCTTTGCCCCAGCCCAGCAGGAAGAGAAGCTGCACCCATGGGGGGGCAAGGAGGAAGAGTTGGAGACTGGGAGAGACCTAATAGTTACCTAAAAGTACCTCAAGAGTATGGATATATGAGCATGCACTCCATGTATTTGAATCTTCTCTCTCTACTGAATCGCACCAGACCCTCCCAGCTGCGACCTCATGGATCCTTACTGTGGCTGTATGGGAGAACCCACCCAATGGGAACAGCCCTCACAAGCTAGATTCCTGGCTCTGCCACTTGCCTCTTTACCAGCTGTGAGGCCTCGAGCAACTTACTTTAACCTTGGTTTATAAAATAATAATGATGGTGCTTACTTCACTTAGTTGGTTGTGAATATTAAATGAGACCAGTGCTCAGCACAATGCCTGACACAAAGCCTGCAAGAAATAGAGGCTGGTGGCAATGGTGTCAATATAGGTCCATCGTCCCTTATCTATGATGTACAAGACACTCCGGAAAGTTTAGGGGAAAAGCAATTAAAGTAGGATATTTTGGTGCAAAAAAATTTGAAATCCATGCATATTTTTTTCATAATATGCATTTTCTATGAGCTTTTTGAAGATTCTCTCATATTCCAGAATTCAAATTTTTTCTCATTTTATAAAAGTGGTACAGTATGTGCACTGCAAATTATAAAATACCTTCAGCAAAGTACCCTGTGATCAAACACATTCACGTTTCTTCAGTCCAATTAATGGTCTTATTTAATGGTATAAATAAAGACTGAAAACAGCCTCATATCAGTTCAGGTCAGGCTTAGCCATGTGCTAAGATGGTACCTGGATTTTTTTTTTAATTTGTCAGAGGGCACATGCACTCACTAGAGAGAGAAAAAGGGAAGAAGAGACAGAGTGAGAAAAAGAGAGAGAACACCACCTATGGGTAATTGTCATGCTTCAATCCATTTCTCATTCCTTATAGGATTTTGAGCACGCACATGCACACACACTTGGCACGTTTTTCAAGCCACCAAGTCAGGACTCGAACTGCTCAGTAAGCCATGTGGGAACCCACTCACATAGCCACCAAGGAAGGCCATGAGCTGGACCCCCAGATTTTTTAAAAATTTTTCAGAGATTTTGGGTTCAATTTCTGATTGCAGATTTTTAAAAGTGAACCTATAGTATTAATTGTGAAGAGAAAACCCTGCTGGTCTTGCTCGGTTGCTCCGAACTGGGCCTTGGACCCCTCTCAGGGGTCACTGAGATAGAGGATACAGTGTACAGAAGCAGTCTCCCCTCCATGGCCTTCATAAATGCTGCCTCTCCCTCCCACCACCCATTTTCCCTCCTTAGAACCTGCAGAATCCATGCCTAAAACTCAGGAGCGGGCCAGTGGGGAACCCAGCACAGAGGAACTCTCAACCCATATACCACCACTGGATTCGCAGGGCGCCAACTCGGTAAGACCCAAGGGCTGGGCAACCAGGTCTACAGGAGGTCAAGCTATGTGGACAATGGCAAGAGCCTGATCTTTGGAGTCAAAAAAGGGGGGAACAAAGATTCCATCACTGAAAAGTTATCCTATATGGTAAGAGGAATTACATCTCCTCTGATGGACAAAGAAAGCTACAGTGTGGGAGGGACTAAGGTTAGACTTTGTGTGGGACATATGATTCCTGGAATAGGTGATGAAGTAGGCCATGGTATTTTTTCTTATAAAGGTTGTTGGGAACCAAAGGGAGATCCTCCCCTGCCCAGGCTGGGTTATCTCTGCCTGAGATAATCTCCTAAGCTTTCATTTTACACTTTTTACTCACCCTGCATAGATTAGACAAGGGACAGAGACTGATAACAGGCCCGACAAGCTTCCTGAGGAGTTAGCTGCTTGACAAACTGGATGGGAGGGGATGAGGCGATCTAATGTCCTCTCACCTTCTCTTTCTGACCCTTTCCTCAACAACAGGTCTGAGAGAAGGCGGTGTCCTGGAATCAAGACTACACTTTGGGAATGCATGGACACTGGATTTGTTTCTTATTTCTTCACTTTTGGGGAAAATCTCTTGTTTTTAAAAAGTGATAAATTTGGTGTTAGGTCCTTGGCACTTTCCTTTTTTCCCTCCCAACTTTAAGACTTATTTTCTCCCTCCCCTTGTCATGCCTCCTCTACAGCCCCTGCCCTTCTGATCAATGGTTTCTGGGGGGAAGAAATGGGGAAGCTGGCAGAAGCCTTAAGAAAGAAAGAGTTCTTCCCCAGCCCTCCCTTTACTTGATGTACAAGAGAGATGGGAGTCAGATAAGTGGGAAAACTAACTTTCAGGGTGCCCAGAAGGAAGAATAGTCCCAAGCTGTCTTTTATAGAGGGACAATACAACCACCTGGCAGGGCTGCCTTGTCCCTGGAAGACTTGGAGCTCTGAGGCCCGCGCCCTGACCAGCAGGGAATGTGCTGTGGGCGCCCTCTGCGGGACAGATGCAGGAGCTGCATGTTGGCACTTGGCTGGGGGAAAAGGGAGTTTTGGTGTTGGTTAGATGGTGACTCCTTGCCTACCCTCCAAACCTGGCTGTCTTTCTTTTGAATTCTCAAGCTTCAGAACGTGTTCTCTCCTCCAGCTGTGAGACCACCATCCCTTATTCCAACTGTTAGCAAAAATGGTAGAGAATATAGTGGCTGTTACCAAAGATGCCCTGCTGGGAACTGGAAGGGTCATCTCTCCCCTTTTCCTAGACACTGAGGAGCCAGAATAGGACAAAAAGCAAACATAGCTGAAGAAACTCCCTCAGATCCTACAGCCAGACCCCTTCTACCACTTCTATAGACTTTCCCGGGTAGAGGAGGGGAGAGAAAGAGGGAAGGTGAGATTCTTTCCCACTCCTTGCTGGAGCGGCAGCATGGGGAGCGGAGAGCAGCAGAGCCTCGGCAGGAGAGAGCCCACCTGACCTGTACCCACCATGTGCCCTCAGGCACAGCTCCTCTCTGGGTTTGAGCTTGCCCAGATATAGATATACGGATACAGACATCAGGGAGAACAGCTCACCACGATCTCAAGCTTACAAAAGGCAGTGTCCACGATGCTCTGTCGACGTCCACCCACAAACACAGGCAAACACAGCCAGGCCTAGTCTCCCTTCTTTATTGGTCTCTGGCTATAGTAGAGGTCTGGGAGACCAAGGGCAGGGGTGAGTCACATGCGTCTCTGCCCCACTCAGGGTGGGTTGGGAGGGACAAGGGTAAGGGTGGCAGGTCTAAGAGACCCTGGATATGGACTTCACACGAACAGGGCCCACTGTACAAATGCATGGTTGGTATTTACAAGAGAGGAGGAGGGCAGTCACCTGGACTTGGGCCTTTCTGGGGGCAAGGTAGGGACGACAAGGAGCCTGAGAGGAAAGAGCACACAGCCTGGCTGGGCTCTCTCCAGAGGACATGACAGAGGCAGCTCTCCCCCCCATCTGCCTTTCACCCACCACTCCCCGGAGAGGGGCCTCTTGGTGCCTGCAGCTAGGCCAGCTGTTGGAGATGGGAGAGTGGGGGGAACCTCTGCTAGCAACACAGGATTTCTGAGTTATACACCACCCTCCCCACACAGCCTCAACCCTACGCCAGCTGGTCTCTCCTGTCTGTGCCCCTAAGATGCAACCCGAAGGTGCTTTGGTGGGGAGATCTCAAAGCACTTTACAGACATTGGTCGGATGGAAGCCTCCCAGCCCCAGAGGAGACAAAAGGAGGCAATAGCCTTGGGACTTAGCAAGGGCAGGTGACAAGCCCAGAAGCCCAGGCTAGTCCCAAGTTTGTAAGGACCCCAGGGAAGGCCTCCCCTCAGCCCCATTCCCACTGGCTCCTCTTCTCCCCCAGTCACCATTTCCAAATGAGAGAGAAGGAAGACTGCAGGGTGGGGCTGGAAGCAGTGCAAGTCTAGGATAAAGAAGAACACCCCCCCCAATTCTCAGGTCCCAGAAAGGTACCATGCCCTGAAGGAACCCACTCCCCTCCCCACGTAAGGGCTCTGAAAAAACCCAGCTTTCTCTCCTATTCCAGCCCTTCCCAGGGGGAGAGATGGAAGACCCAGACCTGCCAGCTAAGATCTGGGGTGGGGGGCTGAGGGAACCCCCAAAATGTATTGCTTAGAAACTTGGAGGCAAAAAGGATAGGGGAGGGCCCAGGGGGCTGGCATCTCTGAACCCCCCCACCCCCGCCCAGGCCATGGGAAGCCTCCAGGAAGCCCCCCTCCAAAACAGCTATCTGGCCAAGAGGGGAGCCCAGAGGCAGGGGTTGGGCACAGTGGCCACTGGGAACCTGAAGCTCTCCAGTCTTGCTGCCGGGAGATTAAAGTGCGCCCCAATGGGTGTCAGGTGGGGAGGGGCCCTTCCCCCAGCCACACGTCTCTGGCATTTGGCCTTCAGGTGGGTTGTCTCTTCCACAACCTCCACGCTCCCTTGGTTCAGATGGGGGAGCCAGTCCTGATGGATGGTGCTGATGACATCGAACGCTTTGGACTCAATGAGGACCTGGGAAAAGAGGGAGAATCAGTGCTCTGATCCTTGCCCTTCATCTCCAGCCGGACTGGCTGCCTTCTCTAAGGCCTGCCTGGTGCCCACTTGGTCCAAAAATATCCTTTGGAGGGTGTGAACTAGGATTGAAACTGAAGTCACATCCAACCGGCACTGTACCCTGGCTAAATACCTTCTCCCTCATTGTCACAAAGACATTGAGCAGGCCAGCAGTGGCCGAGTACAGGCCTCACCCTGACCCGTTCTGAGGAGCTAATTCTTTTTGTCCTGAAGGGACTGTGGGACAGAAGAGGGAGATTTCTCTGCTTCCCACCATGGCCTGGCTCAGTTCTGTGTCTTCGCCTCCTCCATTTTCCTGTCTGAAAAGAAGGAGGAAGGCCCTCATGCTCATTAGATCCCAGGAATGACCCATCAAAGACACTATGTTGGGTGCCAGTTCTATGGCCTAGTGGTTAAGGGGGCCAAATCCCACATGGTTGATCATACTTGAAAAACACACAGGTGCACATGTGTGTGCATGTGTCCAAAATAATGACAGGAGAGAGACTTGGAAGAGAACGACTGTAGCATGACTGTGCCCCATTGGGAGGTGCTTTCTCCCTCTCTCACATACTCTGTCTCTTCGTCTCTCTCTAGAAAGTACATGTGTCGTCTGGCAAATACATTCTTTTTTTAAAATGCCGTGTTGGAAACCTAGCCTTCCCTACTCCCTCCACCACAACAAGCTTACCTGGGCCAGCCCCAGGGCTAGTCCAGATTTCCATTCTGGTTGTGTTCATCTTCAGCAGGGGAGGGTGGGGCCTCTTCTTCACAGGGGGACAGCTCATCAATGGACATCTGATTGGTGATACCTGCAGGGGGCCATAAAGGAAGCTGAGGTTAGGCCAAGAAGAACTAGTCAGAAACCAAGGAGTATTTGAAGAAAAGAAAGAGATTCTCGCCCATTACCCTGCCCTCAGGTTGAGCTACCATCAGTCTGTCCCCACTCGAGAAGAGCCTTTCTGGCCTTGCTAAAACACAATTCTCAACCCCCACCTAAAGGAAGAAATTTCCCATCCAGGGACATGAAGTTACACAAATATAAAGGGCACCATTTACAGAGACCATAATGTGCACGGAGTCCCTTGCATGATGAAATACTGTGGCTGTCCCCATCCTTCCTCTGGTCCTCATTCTAGAAAAATCCAGACCATTCAGTAAGTCTTTCCTGTGAACTAACTTCAGTCTAAAAAGCCCCATTCCCAATTCTAGGAGGCAAACAAAGCTTAAGAAAAAAAAAAAATGGACCTGCTACTGTCCATTAGCTACCCCCCACAAGGTCTCACCGCCCCTGCCAGTCATCACCTCCACCATGGCACCTACCACTCGCTGCTCGTTCCTTCCACTTCTGCTTGTTCTCCTGAATGTACTTGATCCATGTGGAGCGGAAGTTGACCACATCAGGGTTAGGATCTCCCACTTCCACATCCAGAGAAGGCTGGCGCCACTGGAAGCTAGAGGCAGGATCCACACACACACATGCTAGCTCAAGAGGTGAAACCCAGCCCCCTCCAGGACCACCTTCACAGCCTTCATGTGAATGAGATGGAAGAGCAGGAAGAGGTTTAGGGAGCCCGGTCCTTCTTTCCCTCTACTAGATACCCCTCAAGTCCCTGTCCCACTTTCCCCAGTTTTAGCCCTCCCTCTCCATAACCTCCTGCCTAGTGAAAAGAAAACAAAAAATTAGCCAAAAGACAATAAAAACAGAGCTAAAGGAAGAAACAAAAATACGGCAGAACAGAGCATAGGTGCTGGTTGCATTCTTCTGTCCCATCTTTCCTCCCCAGTTGTGTGACAAGCAGCAAAGGAACCCCCAGGTTTGGAGTAGCCTGCCTCCCCACCTCCCTCAGTGTGGCTTACCCTCCTGCCCACCCCCACAGAGCCAGGAGACCTGGCTACCCCAACCACCCTCACCTGGGCTGGTTTTTAGACTTGGAGTCTTCATCCACCAGGGGCTGGACACTCTTCTCGGCCACATCAGTCAGCACAGAGAACGTGGGCTCCACAATGAAGTCAATGAAACCTGCAGTGAGGGAGCAATGCAGGGCAATGCGGTAGCAATGCCTCGCTGGGGGGGCTGAACAGATGACACAGCTGGCACGTAAAACAGAGTGGAGAGGTAACCTGGGGATAAAAACTTCCCAGTGGGGGCAGGCTTTAGGATGATGTCTATGTGACCCCAAAGAGCTCTTCTCTGCTACTGCACCCTCCTGGTCTCCCACCCACAACCACACACTCTAGCACAGCAGGCTTGGAGGAAGAATGGTTTTGGAGTTGAGAACTTGGCATTATCCTGGCCCATGACCAGAGAGCATCCTTTCCCCTTCCCAATCCTTTTCTTCCTGCACAAATGGACACTCATTGGGACCAGCAGTTGGCATGAAGGCTATGTTGCTGGACTCCCATGTAGTCGACCACGGTTCGAGTCTCAGACCCGGTGGCTTAAACTCATGTCAGGTGCTGCGTGCCCAAGATCCCGAGAGGAGAATGGAGGAGAAGAGATTGTGGTGTGGCCATCCCCCCTGGGGGGTGATTTCTCCTTTCCATCTCTCTTTATCTCTCTGTCTTTCTGGTGAGCGCACGCACCCTATAGCAAACACCTCTCCCCAAAAAAAAGAATGGACACTCACCAATCTGGGACTGTGCCACCAGAGTGGATGTGCGATCACAGAGTGGAGAGAAAGGCAGGCCCAGCTCTGCCTCCTTGTCACCCTGGAGAAGAGAGGACAAGGTATGAGATCTGGGGGGGACACTTCAGTCCCACAGAGCTAGGGTGTGGTTAGGGATGTTTGGGAGTTGCTGGAGAAGAGGAATTTCTGCACCTGTGACCTGGAAATGAATGATACACAGATGGAATACAGCTATTGTTAAGGTTTTAGGATAATGAGATTTTATCCCACAGATTTGGGATCAGATCAGAAACTGTGAATAGCTACATGAAGATCTGGAGTAGGAGGACGAACATTGGGAAGCAAAAGGGGTGAAAAGGAGGTAGGCAAAGATGCCAGGCTACCTGGCGGAAGAATTCCTCCATGAGGGCCTTCGTCCAGCGGCTGTGGACAGACCACTGCTTGGTTGGGTGGCTGATGTCAGCAGCATGGAGCAGTAGAGACAGGGCTTTGGACTTGTCGATCCTGGTTGGGGCAGGTGGCAAAGGACAGGAAACTAATCTTGTAGGAAAAGGAATCTAGGACCATTTCCTAACTTCCCATCACAACCCCTCTCTCAGACCCATACATGCACATCCTTTCACTTAACTTTAAACACCCTTCAAGGCTATGCACACACACACAGTTTCTCACACACACACAGAAATTCGTATGTATGAGATGTGTATATATAGGTAACAGCACAGGTTAGCTGAGAGGCCAGGCTTTTAGAAGCAAAGGGCCTGGATTTGAATCCCCACTACACCTACCACACACCAGTTCAGTGTGTGACACTGAGCAAGTAATTTAAAATTTCTATATTTCATTTTCTTCCACCCTAAAATGGAAATAAAAACGCTACAACATGCCAAGTTATTCTGAGAATTAAATGGTATAAAACACACAAGCATTTTGAAGGGTGTCTGACACATAAGTGCTCAGTAGATTATATAAATAACCATTATTATTATTATTATACCCCCAACAATGACCCACTGTGACATTGCACACTCTCCCACACAGACAGCAAACAGAGATTAGCACACACCTGCAAAAACACAAACACAGCCCTTTCCTCTCACTCACATTTATGTACTCCCGCCCACTTTTAAGCAACGGTAGATATAATTATGGCATTTGTTCTGTGCACTTTTTTTTAACCTCACATAACTCTACCAATAGCCCTCAGAGCAGGAACTAGTGGCAAGCTGGCATGGAGAGAGGCATATCATTTTCACCATTTCACAAAGAAAGAAATGAGTCCTGAGGGTTGAATGAATTTCTCAACATTCCAGGGTAATCCTGTCCTGTAGCTCCAATGAGAAACCCCGATTGCAGACTCCTAGCCAAAAGGGCTCTCCAGCCTGGGCTGCACACAAACCTAGGATCACGTACACATACACTTACACAGAGGCACACTCAGGTACCCGGAGCCAGGACACTCTACATCCAGGCACAGACCTGGCATGCCAACCACCCATGTACACACCCCACAGTTCACACATCCCTCCTTCTGGCCTGGCCCTAGCCACTCCTGCCACCCCCAAGATTCCACCTCTCCAACTGCTGCAAGGCAGTCTTCATGGACTTCACTTGCTGGAAATGACAGGACATGTCTGTGGCCAACACCATCTCAATGACCAGGGCCCGCAGTTCTCTGAATAGACAGAAAAAGAGAAGTGATCAGCCCCCTCCACTCTGCTGGGCAAGAGGTCCAGGAAGTAGGGGGAAAAAAAAAAAAAAAAAGGTTAGGGTAAACAGGTCTTTTAGGAATGGCCAAGTACTGATTTCTGCTCACACAAACTCATCCTTGGTGAGGTTGATGAAAATGTTCATCTCATCATCCTGCATCATTCGGAAAACAGAACTGATGTGGTGGTTCTCCAGCACGGAACGATCATTGTACAGGATGGCACATTCTGACCTGCAAGAGCAAAGGGCACCATGCCCAGCCCCCTGTAAGGAGGAACTCCGGTAACCTCCTCTACTCCTCTTGGCCCCTGTCCCTGCCATGTCCCCACTCCTCACTTGGTCTGGATGTGGAAGCTGTTGGTAGTGCCTGTGTGCTCGTAGTCATGGATAGCTGCAGCAAAGACGATGGCCAAGACCTCAATCTCCGACAGGCAGTGCTAGGGGAAAGAGACAGAGGATGAGAGAGGGCTGACGCCGGTGGTCACTCTCCCAGAACCTCCACACAGGCTGGACCACTCAGCCCATCCCTTCCGTTGTTCTAGGCCGGCCCTTGGACTTCCCTCCATCTCAACCTGCAACATTCTCTCTGTATCCCAGCACGTGTCTCTACCACTGCCCATGAAGTTTTGATACACCCAGGAATTCTGTAGAGTGAATTAATCCAATTTGACTTTGTATAGGATTTGGGTTACCCAAGAGAAAAAAATTGAAAATGGAAGTAAAGCCTAGACATCAGAATTCTGAAGCCATAGACCCTGAATCACAGAAGACTGCAGGGCACCTACCACCATCCCTGTGCGGAGCAAGAAGCAATGGACTGTCTGGGTCACATCAGCTGCATGGATCTGGTTGTGGTAAGGATTCTTGTACTTCCCATAGCCTGTCTCCAAGGCATCCAAGAAAGTCATCAAAAACACAGTGGGAATCTGCAGTAGAAGAGAGAAAATCGAACTATATCGAGACTCTATGGGAACCGCAGTGGATGAGGACTGATAGTGGCAATCCTAGCTTTCTGTCGAAGGTAGCTGCCCCAGAGAGAGTATGGACTCTGCGGTCAGGTGAACCTGGGCTCACTTTCTGGCTCTACCACCTGCTAACTGTGTGACCATGAGCAAGTCACATGCCTCCCTGTGCCTCAGATACTTATTTGCAGAATGAAGATAATACCATCTACCTGGAGTTTAAGGAGGTAAATATAAGGTATTTGATAAGTGTTCTCTAAAGAGTAGCTATAATTATTATTATTTCCCTGGAGATTTTTTTTTCTGAAGCTAAGAAACTTTCCCTCCTACCTTCTAACCACTCTAGCTCATCCCTAAATCGAATACCACAGGGGAATCAGAAGCAGGGAAAAGAACAAGATGGCCTAGGAGAACCCTTCCGGCAAGGTTTATATCACCCTCTCCTCTGAGAAGCTTTCTCTGACCAACCACTCCTCCACATACAGTAACAGCCTCCAACCCAACAACACACACACACACACACACACACACACACACACACACACGCACACCCCTATCTACTCTCAAATCTCTCTCTGTCTGTCTGCCCTTTGGGTGTGTTTGCCTACTTCAGTCACCTCAAGGCTCCCAGAGGGCAGAACTATCACCTGTCCCTAGATCTGAGTCTGGAGGGCACTGAATTTCAGGACTTGGGGAAGCTTCTTGGAAATAAGCAATAGAGTGAGGAGAGACACAGAAGATATACCACTAGTCAATCAGTCCCTGACATCCCCCACCCACACCCATGGAGGGCTGTGCCCCAAATTCAGGGAATTTTAAAGGACTGTTTCCATGACAACTGCCCTTGCTTTTGGTTGCCATGGTGTTCCTGGAGGGAAGAGAAGGGAAAGGGAGGAGCAGGGGAGGGGCTAGGTGCCCAAGAAAAGAATGTGGAGCTTGAGAAGCTCAGCTCTGACTGGGCTCAACCATCAGAGAAAACTAAAGCAATAAGCACTCCCTCTTTCTTTCTCTAACGGCCTTGCAGCAAGACAGAGCCAGTCCTTCCAGGCAAGGAAGCAGAGTTTAGGAGAAGCTAGTGTCTGAATATGTCTAAGAGTCAGTTTGGAGAAACACGAGGTAGGGAAAAGCTTTCTGTCCTAGAGAGGGCAGAATTAGAAGGTAAACTGCAGAACAGCCCACAGGAAGGCACTGAAGAAAATCCCTACTGAAAATTTCAGGAAAGTTTCAGAAACTCTCTTGAGAGTTAATATTAAAGGAGAAGTCAGGGTGGAGGAAAAGCTCACCTGCACAAATAGACTGTTACAGTGAAGTGGAGACCAAGGAAGGGTCCAAAGCCCATCTGAGAGCAGTCCCCACACCTGGACTCTTGACTGCACCTCTCTATGGCACCTTAGAACATTACGCTTCCCTCCACTCTAATATCTCCTGCTCCCAACCAAGTGCTGACCAAACATCCGCATTGCCACTCTTCAATCCCCCTCACCCTCCACTTCTAAATATGGATGTGTTTTTCTCTGGCCCTTATTCTTTCCCAGAAGATGCTCCCTCCTGGTACAGAATTCAGAGAGCGCTTTAATCCCATATTAGTCTTCCTGGCCAGTCAAGCTGAAGAGCAAGTGGAGTTAACACATTCCCCCTCCCCTCATACAGCCCCATCCCGGCCCTGCCAAGAGCTGACCCTTTCCATAAAATGCCTTGCACAGACCAGAGCTGGGGGAAAGGGAGGGAGTGGCCAAATTTTAACTAGTCCCAAAGAATACTGGCTGTTAGCATCTGCACTCGAGGCCTATGGAGTTCACAGACAGGAAGCAGAACAGTCAAAAAGGGAAGGGGAATCACAAGCCAGCCTAGAGACAAGAGACAAGTCAGGGAGGGAAAAACAGAG